CGACGGAAACTGAAGACCGGCACGGTTAGACCGGACTTAGCCTTTCCCTTGACTTTACCGCCTTTGCCTCGACCAGACATGTTTACAGGTTCGTGTTCAAACTGAGAATGATATCAAAGTTCTCGAACGGGCCCGTATAGATTTCTGAGCGTTGCAAGCACACGCCCATTTTTGGGAGACACGCCCCTCCCTTGCCTACGTACGTTGTTACGGCTTCAGTCAAAACGTTGAAGCAGTACGAAAAACGAGCGTCGGCACGACTCATTTCGTATCAGTCAGTGTACTAGTAAACATCAGACATGCCACCGAAAACCAAGCGGTTAAAGCGGCTAAGAAAGCAGGCAAAGCCCAAAAATATTTCAAAGGGCGACAAGAAGAAGAAACGTAAGCGCAAGGAGAGCTATGCCATTTATATTTACAAAGTCTTGAAACAAGTCCATCCTGACACGGGCATTTCGAGCAAGGCGATGAGCATCATGAACAGCTTTGTGAATGATATCTTCGAGCGTATAGCGGCCGAGGCATCGCGTTTGGGCTCACTACAACAAACGCTCTACAATCACTAGTCGGGAATTCAGACAGCAGTCCGGCTATTGCTACCAGGCGAGTTGGCCAAACACGCCGTCAGCGAAGGTACTAAGGCCGTAACCAAGTACACCAGCTCGAAATAAAATGATGAAGATTTTGTGATGCCACTTATATGTTCTGTCGACAATAACAAAGGCCCTTCTCAGGGCCCACAAATATTTTACAAAAGAACTTTATAATTTTTACATTGGTTTTATAGATAAAATAAAATAACCTGACACTAATGATATTTTATTAGGATTTTCAATAAATTTTGATCAGATTTCTATTAGAGATCGTTATTATTAATTTATATTATAAATAATGTTCAATTTCTATATATTTTCAATATGATAAAAATTAATGATTGAATATTCAATTCAATTTAAAACTTTAGTTTTCAAATTTAGTTAATAAGTTTAAGTTTATTTTAATTTATTATAAAATATATTTATATTAAAAAAAATCGCAATTTAAATATTTTCGTAAAAATAAAATTATTGCCGTAAATATTTTAAAAATTTTATTATTTAATATATAAAATATATTATTACATATTATATAATTTAAATAATATGCAAAATTTAATAAATTCATTCATTTAATTGAGCTCCTCAATTCAGAGCCCTTTTCGAAGCCCTTTAACTGTAAAGTATACTAATACTAAAAGTATACTCTATTTTCTATTAATTGAAGCCCCCCCCCATGTAAGAAAGAAATCAATTGCATATAAAAAGTCAATACGAAAATAGTAAAATATATATTAATTAATACTTTCTTTAAAACATATTCGAAGGGCTTTCCAATTTGATAATATTATCAATAATATTACCAAAGCAAGTTATTCTGCAAGAAAATAAACAAATTTCATATAAAATCAAATAAAGCCTGTACGTAAATTGTAAAATATATTACTTGTTCTTTTAATTATATTTGACAGCCCTTAAAAGGGCTCTTTTTTGTTTTGTATTTATAAGAAATGACTGCGTCCGTTGATCAATTTAACCGCCGAAACCGTACAGTGTACGACCCTGACGTTTGAGCATATACGACATCCATAGCGGTTACGGTCTTCCTCTTGGCGTGCTCGGTGTATGTGACTGCATCGCGGATAACGTTCTCGAGAAACACTTTCAGAACACCGCGGGTCTCTTCGTAGATTAGACCCGAGATACGCTTGACGCCGCCACGGCGAGCAAGACGACGTATAGCCGGCTTTGTAATACCTTGGATATTATCGCGAAGAACTTTCCTGTGTCGCTTAGCGCCACCCTCCGAGTCCCTTACCACCTTTGCCACGGCCGGTCATTTTTCAATATATCGCAGTCGGGATAAATTTACAAATTGATGTTAACAGCTCGAAGTCTGAATAACGACTGAATTCCGACGAGCGAAATTATTGAAAAGTTTGAGCTCGCTAGGCCACGCCCATCATAGCTATGCGAGCATTCGGCGCCGACCAATGACAGCCGAGCACAGCATCGGACATTCGTAATGTATTTTGATCATAATATTCGAGCCGGACGCGTCAGTATCAAAACGATCGTCAAACGAGAAGGTTCTCGAAACGAAATCTAGGAGTTATAATGGCCCGTACGAAGCAGACAGCTCGCAAGTCCACCGGTGGCAAGGCGCCCCGTAAGCAGCTTGCAACGAAAGCGGCTCGCAAGAGCGCGCCGGCGACCGGCGGTGTGAAGAAGCCGCATCGTTATCGGCCTGGCACCGTAGCTCTGCGTGAGATCCGTCGTTACCAGAAGAGCACCGAGCTTCTCATACGAAAGTTGCCGTTCCAACGTCTAGTGCGCGAGATCGCTCAGGACTTCAAGACCGATCTGCGTTTTCAGAGCTCCGCCGTCATGGCATTGCAGGAAGCTAGCGAGGCCTATTTGGTTGGCCTGTTCGAAGATACAAACTTGTGCGCGATCCACGCCAAGCGCGTAACCATCATGCCCAAGGATATTCAACTAGCTCGGCGTATTCGAGGAGAACGCGCTTAGACGCCTGTCGTCCTATAAAACAAATCGGTCCTTTTCAGGACCACCAAAATGATCAATTAAAAGAACTTTTATTATTTTTCAAATTATTTTATTTTGCAGAATTATTCCATCGATACGTTAGAATTTTTATTGATTTTTTTTTTAATTGAAATTATTGACAACACACATGATTTGACTTGTTGAATAGTGTGTTGTTGTGTTAAGTTTAAAAAATATTATAGTTGAATTTGTAAAATTCGTCATGAATTTCTGAAAGCTTCTTTAAAAAATTCTAAATTTAATTAATATGGGCGAGTTGCCGTTCTGATGATAGAAATTTATATTATATATATTATATTATATATATTTATATATATAAAATTTTTTTTTTTATTGTATATTTTTTAATTTCATATATAGTTATTTAAAGTTATATAAATTTTCTTTTTCGAATACGATATGAAAAAAGATTGAAACTTCATAAATTATTAATGATTATATTTTATTTCATTAATTAATTTCCATTTACTTATTATTTATATAAAAAAAATTAGAAAAAATTATGAATTTAATTATTATGAGAGTTGCCGTTCTATGTATAGTTGATTTATTTAAAGTGATATATAAAACTTTTATTAATAAATTATTGATTATATTTCATTTGATTAAGATAATTTATTCATATAAAATTATTTAAAAAAAAATAATAAATAAATAAATAAAATTCAGCGATTGATATTGAACAACTCCCTACCAAAGACGAAATTGAAAATTGAAAAGACTTTGACTTTTAAATTTCGTCAATGACACAACACGGCGGCGAGGAACACAGCGAGCGTTGCTGCGCTCCTGTTACAAATATTTTATTAAAAATTTTTCCGAAGTCCACGAAAAGGCTATAATATAAGATGATAAGATATATATAAGTAAAATAATAATGTTCTTTGATAAAAATTTATTGTTAGTCCTGAAAAGGACTTTGTGCAAACATTTTCGTTTGCTGTTGTGTAAAAAGATAATGAAATGTTTTCACTTCTTTTTCGGTGACGCTTTTTTCAAAGGTTTGGCTACTTTTGATGTCTTCTTTGGCGATTTAGGTTTCTTTGCGGCTGCGGTCTTGACGGTTTTCTTCGTTTTGCTCGTTGCCTTGGCCGATGAGGCTTTCGTCGACTTACCCTGAATGGTCTTCTTCTTATCGACTGTCGTCTTAGGTTTCGCCGACGACTTTTTTAATGTGCCCGCTGCGGATGCAGACTTCTTTTTAGGGGACGAAGCAGGTTTGGCGGCGCCCTTCGACTTTGCTGTCTTCGATTTTGCTTTTGCCGCTGGCGTCTTAGCGGTCCTGGCTTTTCCAGCCGAAACACCGCTTTCGCCGCCGCTCTGTTTAGCGTTCGCGGCAAGTTTGAACGAACCCGAAGCACCTTTGCCTTTTGTTTGAATCAGTGTGCCCGCTTGAACAGCTGACTTTAAATACTTTTTAATGAACGTTGACATTTTCTCGGCGTCGATTTTATAATTGGCCGACATATATTTCTTAATCGCCTGCAGCGACGATCCGCCGCGTTCTTTCAGACTTTTAATAGCGTTGTTTACCATTTCAGATGTAGGAGGATGGGACGGCTTCACTCGCGGTTTTTTAACAGCCGCAGTCTTGCCCTTTTTCGGCGATGCTGTCGCTGGCGCAGCGGTTGCCGCCGGCGACGTAGATAAAGCGTTATCTGACATTATAGTAAAAAATCGTAGGTTAAAATGTAAATCTAACACGTGATTGGTTAAATATGTTAGGGGCGTGGCCAAAAACTATATTCGAAAAGTGTAGGACCGAGGAGAAAACAATAATATTTGAAAATTTTACAAAAATGTAAATTATTTGTAAAAAATTAAATCCAGCGCTTTTATTCTAAATAATTCGCATAAAACAATGGATTTACATGATAGCCAAATTCATCCCCAACATATCATCAAAAGCATGATTTATTTCAACGGTTAGTTTTTCTAAAATATCGCTAATTATATTCAAATAACTTCTGCACTCAATAGTGCGTTTTCAACAAAATCGTTATCGCATTTTTATGAGCATTGAGATATGTTATATTTTGATGCGATGTAATTATACTTATATATCCTAGAAACAGTTTTTGTAAATTTTTATTCATAAATAGTATCATAATTGTTCATAAACTGTCATTGAACATTCATTTGAGTACTCTATGAATCTATACTGAACAATAGCTAATATAAACGATTTGATTAAATAACGAATATAATATTTTATTAAAATAAAATATTATTTGTATGAAATAATTAATTATATTTACGATGTAATACACTATCAATACACCAACGCATAAAATTCGGTTAGAAATCATTTGTGTAAAACATTATGTCGCGTCGTGCATTCAAGTTCAAGAAGTGTGCTCTATTCTCTTTTTGCATAGTATCTAATAAAATAATATTATCGTTATAATTAATTATTTCATTCGTAGTTTTCAAAAGAACGATAAAATACAAAACAGTAAACAATTGTACTGTTGTTTCTTGAAATAACTTGAGTCAAAAAATTCACAAACTGTTTATTCTGTAAAATCATAATATTTCTATCATATTATATTTTATTAAAATAAATCGAATGTATAAATAATTTAGTCATTAATAATAAAATATAATATTTATGTTTTTTTTTTTTTAATTCAATTGTATAGAATAAAATAATAATATCTTATATTCATTGCCGAGAAAAGATTATATATTAGTTGATATTTAATAAATATTATTTTATTCTTTTATTCTTGAATGCTTGCTGAACTGAATATGCGGCTCTGCTGCTATATCTAAACACGCTGACCGTGAATAACCGTTTGTTCGAGGGTCAGAAAACATGCAAGATTTTAGCCTAAATGGTGATTGTTATTAGAATTGAATGACTGGAGAACCATACGAAATTTTAACAATGTATTATAATTTATATGGTTTCTTTATGAAAATATAGAAATATTGTCAATAATTGCTGCAATCTAAATGTA